TCGAGGTAACGATGGCAATGCTTTTGTTAGTAATGATTTACGGTTTCTTTATATTTTTCTACACGTGACATGCATGAGAAGTAAAAGGAAATAATTGGAGTTCAAATTTTTAGATGAAATGGGTCACTTTTCTTGGCGTTATTTTAATATAAATGAGAAGAAAGAGAGAGAACGAAGAAGAGTTTTGTTAGTAATTCGTAACTTTTTTGTTTCAAGTTTAATAAGAAGAAATGAGAAAGATGAAAAATGTTTGATGTATTTTCGAGTGTAGACGTTGCATGGTGCTCGATAATGTTGAAATGATCAATTTTAAATAGTGAATATTAAATTGTAATTAATGTGGGAGTCTGAAATTAAGTAATTATAATATAACAGATTCCGTTATCACCTTCGTTGTTGACATTATTACCGCTATCAGTGTTACTCTAATTTCTCTTCTTTATTAGAACTACTTCAATTTGAGTCTGTAACGGACAGTCTTCAGAGATTCAGTGAAGTAAGTTTGACTCTGTTGCTGAGTTTAAATTTACACGATAATTTCCATTATTATGAGATATAATCGGTTCTAATATTCTCATAAATCTATTATCAATTGTTAAAGTTTGATTATTGATATTTGTGACAATCGAAGTGTTCGTCGAAAGTTTTGTGATGTAACGAAACGCGTACGTTTCTGCATGGATTAAATCGGTTTAAGAATTTATATGATGTTACCAGTATATTATGATCTAGTGATCGAGTAATCTTGCAACCAAATGTCATACCAATATTAAATATACATGTTAACTGTGTTAATAATAAAATGCTAAATTATTGTCAAACAAAAAATGAAACCAGTATTCATATATCGTTATTTACTTTGCAACATAATTGGCTTGCTTCTCTACATAAGGTAGCTTTTGCATAGATAAATGATACTTAATAACGAATGCATAACTCTGTAAAGTATATTAGTGAATAAAAATAGAACGTTACAGTATAATCACGTAATATTCTTCTTCTGAAAGTCGCTACTTTCTTCGTTGATGTCATAAAAAGTAGGTATATGTATATTATTACACCATATGGAAGAATGAAAGTACTAACCTAATTTCAAGAATTTCTTCGCTATCTCTTTTTTTATTTATTATTCTTATCATGTCATATCATGTACAACCCACTGCACACGTTGCACTTCTTCAATACCGTAACTCAATATAATACATGTATTCTATACGTATAATGTCTATCAAATTATTTTTTTTACTCCTGTGTTGACAGTAATCCAGTCGATTAAGCAAAGTAAAGCGTCTTTTAAATGTTTCTATAAAATGATATTCATTTTCAATATGAGAATAGTGTTTAAAATTAATATAAGATATATTTAATAAAATAAAACAAAATTTAATTTCAAACCTCTGCGTAAAGTTGAGTGAAGTGCAGGTTCACTTGCAGTTCAGAATAAAAGAATAAGTCATTCATCTTCCAAATCAAAAAGTGTTCACACTTTGAAAAGTTAAGGATTCGTGTCCAAGAATTTATTTATTCAAAAGATATCTGTTTGATCACTTCAGAACACATGGTTTCGAGAAAACGGCGTTTAGATTGTTGCATGAAAATTAACACGAACACCGAGAATATTTGTTACTAATGGTTTAAATTACTTGCGGTATGAAGTAGCTGCGGTTTGGAAATTTATTTTTGCCGCGTGAATGTATGTACTCTGATGACAATCAGTAATTCTAGACCCATTTTCTAGACGCATTTTAATGATCCGTGGCACCAACAGTAACTGGTATAACACCATACTCATTATTTGCTTCAAGAATTACTTCCGCCGCGTAAAGAAGCAAATTCATACGTCTATTTGATAAGTGGAAAAATTAATTGCATTCACAAAAAGAAACCAAAACACGAGGAGGCACAAAAACATTGATAAATCGAATTATCGAGCTAAGAAAACTACAAGTACCGTTTAATCTTAATTTGTTACAATGTGAAAAATGCAAAGTAATTGTTTGTAAACGTATAAACGGCTCAATAATTTCAATGAACAATTTATATTTCCACTAAAGGAGATTTATCACGTGTTCGAGTCATATGTATTGTATTTTATCACATCGAAACATGATAGACGTATTCAGAACGCGTGAACTGTATTGCTAAAACCGTCGAGAAATGCAGTTTTATTAACGGCATAACACAGAACTTTATTATTCAGCTAAAATTTACATTTCAATGAAATAATTTTCATGTATGATGTTTAAATGTGAAATTTCAAGAAATAGGAAAGGCCTGAAACACCAATTAATTCAGTAATGATGATGCTTTGAAAACTTTGTACTTGATTTACAAATTAAAATCCAATTTTTTTATGAGTATTAATGAATTAGTTTAACTGATTAATCTGATATATTTCAAAATATTATTGTTATTATTTAGGAATTGATATCGTATTTAAAGAAATAAAATTTAATACGAACTGAAAATTAAAATGATATAATATTAGTCAAATTTATTAACTTGTAAAACTGGCACTATTCTAATTTTTTTTTCCAATTCCTTTAAGTTTGATACACGCAAATTGAATGAAAAAGAAAGGAAACTATTAACTTCTAAAATAAATTACACACATTTTAAATATAGAAATTTACAATTAACTGTTATTTAAATTATATGTAAACCACAATTTCCTTCCCTAAACAATACATTTTACTAACTTAACTACTTAAAACTGTATACATTAAATACAAATCATTTGCAAGTAATAATGAAAGTTGAGCAGGAAGGAAAAAATAAAATTCAAAGTTAAAAGTAAATCAAACTGATTTACTACAATGATAACGTGGACGGCTATTCACTGATTACAAACGACAACTTTTTTTATAAATGCACATTTTCAATCTCAGAAGCTTTTGGCTTTCCAGTGCATTCATGCCTTAAGAGCTGCAGTCACGCAACTGAACTGAATATAGTGTTGCATATTTCAGGGGCAATATAAACAGCGACGTGTGTTTAAGAACTTATCGTGCTTTATTAATAGATACTCGTAGAATCTTCATGATTCTTGTTTTGATATGACCCGTGATAATATCTATTAACTACACAGACATAACAATTTTCAATTATCGACTTTGTGGCAAAATAAACGCTCGTGGCGTAGATATTATGTAATATGATGTTCATTCGAATATTTATCCACAGAAACATAAATATTTAAATACTTTCTTATTTCTTCTATAATTAATCTATTTACCAACAAATTTTTTGTGTAATACTTAATGAAACCTTAATTTGATGATATATCGGATGAGTCATTTAAATCAATTCCCTCGAATATCTTTGAAATCGTTGATCATGCCGAATAATGTTTGAAATAAGAGTTGAATGTTTTCGGAGAGGAAACAATTCGATGAAAGTAGATTTTCTGGAAATGTACGCATAGAGGACATGTGAAGTTGAAAATTCTTTTTTTTGAAGTTATTTCGAAAAACCATTACTTTAGGAGAAATGTTATTTTAAAATTGGGCAGTTATAGAAATAATACCATGTTTACTGTGTTAATGTTAATGTTCGGAAGTAATCCTTACATGTTGCGCATAGTTAATTAATAGTATCGCGGGCAATTTTGAAATTAAAATATCTCCTAAACAAATGGTTTTTCAGTATAAATAGTTTAACACTATTTTCCTAGGGTATGACTAGCAATATCGTCTAATACAACACAAAATATGATTTCATATAAAAAAAAAATTTAACCTTTGTATTACCTCTGTATGTTTACCTACAAAGAAATTATTCAGATTAAATTATTCTCTCCCTAAAGTCATTAAATGACACATCTTGTATATTTATATAGTTACGTTTACTGGTCGGGATTGAGTAAAAATAAAAATGTCATAAGATATATAAATATAAAATTCATGGTAAATATGAATAATGAAAAATTCAGATCAACACATATACGTACAGGAAGTGAAAAGAGACTTTGTGAAATTTCCAAGTAATTACAAGAACCAAATCAGTAGTGTTGAATAAATATTCAATGTTTCTCAGTCTTTATATCATTTACGTATCGAAGTTGCGGTTCATGGAAAGGTTGTAAAATTCTGTGTACGAACCAATCTTCCTTTTTTCCATTTATTTTCTAATTCCATATGCTACCGTAGCCATATTTCATTCTTCTTAAGGACAAGCATTTAGGATCTTGACATTGTGTACATAGATAAGAGAGTCTTCGAATTCGTATCTGTCTTCCTCTGTTCAGTCAAAAACAACCCAGCTGACTGTCGTACACAATGGAGAATTAGTTAATTAAAGTGGCCACCTTACTGCACTGTTTCGACCACGTTACAGTTTTGTTTCACACCGGTAAGATTTTAAAAAGAATATATATTATTTTCATATTTTCCGATCAAAACTTGTAAAACAGGCAGGTAACAAATTCTTACACACGCTTGCTCCTGAATAGAGTTTAGTTTCGTATTAGTTACAGTGATTAACGGATTTATTCATAAAAGTTCAACGATGTGTCACAAATGATAGTGATTTGTATAACAGGTGATATAACAGGTGATATTGAGGTGAGCTTTTCAATATGTAAAAGAAACAGAACCAGTCATACTGGGCAAGAATGCTGCAGGAAATCTGAATACATATATGCGTATGGTAGTAATTAGTACTTTTTTGAAAAGCTTATATTTCAAAGATTAATTACTATAAATGGCTGACCAACTCAGTTTTTTCAGTTCTTTGAATAATTTTCGAAACGCTTTACACAATTTGAACTATGATGTTTTGATACTGTTGATTTGACGTTAAAAATCGTAAGAAGTATGATATTCAGGGACACTGTGATTACGAAGTGAATGATCTGTTCGTTTAGATTACAAAGTTCGTTCATATTACAGAAAGAAATTGAATGCAGTTGTTGTATAAAAACGAGCAAGAAATAAAAACAAGTATTCTATTCCTGTATGAAATTGTTTCTGTGAAATGTGTGTAGACTCTACAAAAACAAGATGATAACTAAGAACGGCACAACAGCGATGACAACAACGAAGGAGACGGTCACCGAAGAGAAGAAGCAACTTCAAAATAGTTCACTGCTTCCTGAAGACAAAGAAAATGAAGAGGATGAGATTACATTGGAAGATTTGGCTCCCGATGGTGGCTGGGGCTGGATGGTGATGTTCGCCATGATATTAGTATTCGTTAGTATTCACAATGATTAAATTAATTAAATAACTAACGAAACTTTTAGTTGTAAATAGTACAAACAACATTGGAGTATAGATATCAGGCGACAAATAAACCTAATCTAATATTAATTAATGGCATCAAAATGAAAGAAATGGAACTAGAATTGCAAGAAAAGTTAAATATTATTGTATGGAAACTTATAGAAAGAAGTGAAAGTGCCCCCAATTTACCCACGAAAGGTCTTAGAAATAAATGTGTATCTCTTTTTTGTTCATTATTTTATTACACATTTGCAAGTTCTGTGTTTCTAGGTCGATTGTATTATTAGAAAATGCGTTTTGGAACAGATTCGTCTTCCTACTACTTTAATCCCTAAAGCAAATTTTGAAGATATTTAGGATTATCTTTCAGACCATCTTTTAATCCATCAGTACTTTCCTTCGTTTGGTAGGATAGATTTCTGATATTGCTTATAAGTTAACGACCCTAATTGATCTTATGTTGCAATTCAATAAACTTACGGTAGCAATTCATAACACAAAAAATACGTTATGAAAAAGATTCAAAATAAAATACCGTCTTTGTTTTTTCACACACACACTTTGTTAAAATTTCTGTATTATTATGTTTTTAGGTTACAGCGTTTGGGCCATCTTCGTCCTTTGCAATTGTATATGGCGACTTCCTGGAAGCGACTGGTCAGGCTGGTACCGCCATGACGCTGTTTAATTCCATTTTTATGATTACATACTCCATTGCTGGTAAATAGACACTCTTTTTCCTTTTTTAGAACAAGCTCTGAATTACGTTTTTTTTGTTTACTCTAAATTTAATATTTTTAAGGTGACTACTGAATTTCCGAAACAAAAATTATCAAATTTTATTGATATGACAGCCACTTAATCAAAACTAATATTATCGATATCATGTTGGCATAATAGGCAATATTTACCATTTGAAAGTATGCAACTTAGCGATGCTTATAGTTGATTTTAGTGGAAATTGATTTTAGAAGTACTTTATCAACGTGAAATCGACTGAAGGATTCATAATAAAAACATCAATAAATATAAAACTATTAAAATTAAAATTAATAAGTCGATCATTACTTAATTCTATTAAATGTATACATATCTGTGTACAAATTTTAACCTTTTACATTGCTGTTGTAACTATACAGGATATGTTTCACTTAAACAATCTCAGATTTTGCCACTATGTTCTTAGAGTAAAAAGGAAAGTATTGTACAAATTTTAATTGGGAAACACTTTATTAAGAAGTTATAACAAAAGTATTCAATGTACAGACAATAACAAACTCATAGTAGGTATATCAGGATGCACAAAACGATCGACGATATTTATCTAATTTGTTTGTTAAAAATTACATTACTATTATAAATGTTTAAAGTCGTGTGTCTAACTTATATCAATCTGTAAGTAGTAAAACATGCAAAAATATTAAATACGAGTTCAATAGTTTATTGCTACGACTTCTCAACTTATTTTCACTCAGACAAGATACTGATAAGGTTTTGTGTTGTAATTATAAAACATCACGTATATATTTGTCTGCGTATATCTTCAAGACAACTATAATAGCATTAACGTGCCATTGAATAATTTAATTCCACGTTCCTGGCCGTTTTCGTGCATCTTTGCACAAGCTACCGTATGTACATCTCATTTAGTACTGATAACACGTGTTTGATGATAATGATAGTGAAGACAGTCACTTTTTAATGATTTCATTTAGCGATATTAATAGCTATGCCGACATTGGCACAGAGATGAGAATACCTTTTTGTGGTTTAACTTTTAGATTTCACTTCTATTGAAAAACGGTTTATAATTATTATATTACCAATAACAATTATAAATAAAGTAGACATCTGTGAATGAAATATATGCATAGAATATAAACAAAGTATTTGCAAAAAGCATGTAACACTTTTCACCTATTCTGTGTTTAATAAATATTACAGGAAATTGATAATTATGTAATACAAAACCAGCAAAAACTACTCGATGCTTTTAGTTTTACAAACATTTAATAATTACTCTTTCATTCATTAAGTGAATTCAAGATACAATTTGAAGCTATTACTTTTCATTCAAAATGTAAAACGTAAGTAGTCATTTCTGAGGTTTTGAGTATTTTACATGAAAAGCTAACATTTCGATAGTAGTTACACGTTGAAAACCGTTAATGCTTAATGATGTCATCGTAATGTGATCAAACACTTCAGCAATGTTACAACTCCCGACGTAATCAAGACGCAGTCAAATACTGCACAGACTGATACAGTCATATACATATTTTCAACTGTCAGATGCCGGAAAGATTACCGATAACGCAGCACTAATTCATGAATAGTTACATATTAGTGTGAATGTCTCGTAGATCCGTGGGCGCCAGATAAGAATGACAGACCAGTGCTGTCTCGGTTTGGAAAAACACATATACAAACATTTCTTTCAAAGGTTATAACGTGACATAGCAAAAATGTTATCTGATTTCTTGCAATACTTGCAATACGCAATAATATTTTTTTATGGTTGGTGTGCTTCTGTTGTGCCGACTGTGAAGTATTGTTATACGAATATATGATATTCAGGTAAACACATGTAGAATAACTATCTAATTACGTTTACCCAAATTCAAACTCTATTAAATTGAAGAGTAATTGATACTTTTGCATTCAGTTAAGCTCAAATAAAAAAAAAATTGTTCGTGTCTCGTGTATGACAGGTTAGAGCTATTAATATCAAAAGATTTTCAATCACGTCTGGAAAAAAGCAAGACAAGTAAAAATCAGGGTAATGAAAAAGTGCACATAATATCGCCTGCTTGAATAATATCGATTAATTCGTGTATTTATGAACTTTGTGTTTCTATAAAAAATGTCTCTTATAAAAATAAAAAATATAATTTCCAAATATTTATATTACTATTTATTATTTTTTGAGATGATCACGTTTACATGCTGGGTAAACGAAGTTCACATGTGCAGCTTTACAAATTTCGTGTTCCCATTCGTAACAAATAGCACACTGAAACTGCTATTCTCCGTAATGATCAGAGACTGCACGCTGGTCAAGACACAAAAAAGCTGTTTCCGGTAACAAAAATGTTGGAATCGATTAGATTGCTAAAGCATGTCATTAATTAGACACTCCAAGTAAATATTCATGCATTCATAGAATTTTTAAACGTGCCTTCACCCAGTCTGATGTAAAATTGTCACTGTTCGATAAATTTTGAAACTATCAAGATTCACTGAAACACTTCTTAATTTGCTACACTTTGCTCATGAGACGTTGCAGCCATAGTATGTTTTCCTACCACTGCCTTGACCACCAATTTAATTCATTACCAATAGATTTCAGCACTTTCTTCATGAGATATTACGAGTGACGATATGACGTACTAGGCGATATTAGATAGGCTTATCCTACGTGTGGACACAATATTTGTGTTCATAAAATATTTCTTTCATTTCGGACCTTGTATGACTTTGAAAGTCACTATAGCACATGGTTGAATTCGTCTTGACACACGTTTTCATGTGACATAAAAAGATATGCAGCGTTCCATTAAAAAAATTAAAGGTCACCTCTATTCCTCGACAAATATTACGAATATAAATAATTGAGTATTAATATGAATGTTGGCCATAGAAAGCTGCGAAACATTTCCCTCCGTAATTTTTGTCTAATACTTACCACTTCGGAGAAAACGCTGGCTAATACTAATATGAATACCCTGTATACAATAATACCTATTCCACGAAAGTAAATCCGTGTAAATCGGTATGTTACAGAGCAGTATGCTCGATAAATACGACCAAAAATATATAATATTAAAAATGAATGATTAACAAATTTGTAACAGGTTTAATGACCAACATGTTGCTGAAGAGGTGTACTATGAGGACGGTAGGTGTTTTCGGTGCTGCCCTTTTCTCGATATTGAACATCGCTATGGCTTTCGTGACAAACTTCTACGAAATGGCATTTCTGAATTTATTTCAAGGAGTCGGTCTCGGCTTAATCGTCACGATATGTAACACGAATTTCAACGCTTACTTCGTGAAGAAACGAGCACCAGTACGTAAATGCGAGGCCAATGACCTGCGCCCCCTGAGATACTTATATTCTTAATTTTTTAGAAAAAACTCTTGCCTTCCAGGTAATGAGCGCGGCCCAAGTTATCATTGGCTTAGGTGGTATCGTGTATCCAATAGTCATCGAGAAATTAATGAAAATATACGGATTTCGCGGTAAGTTACTTAATCGTCTTTATTATTGCAAAATTGATGGGAAGACACAAAATCATGTAAAAGGAATAGTAAATAACTGTTTAAAACGTATACGTATACTCATGAATAGACTGCGGATCTTTATGCAAAATGACATTTTCTAACGTAATTTATAAAGATAAGACCAAACATAGGAATTTCTTTCTGCTCTTAAGTACTTTATTGAGTTCGAAATAAAATAGAAAACTCCTTGTATCCAATGAAAGTTTTGTCTTTTATTGTATTTGACAGAGTTCTATTGGCTATAATTGTATAAAATTCGCAGTCTAGTCATGAAAGTACATATTTTTTTTAACTAATTCCATGTTCATTTTAATATCTTACAGCATTTAATACGTACAGATTATTATTTGTGTACAGTAATTTCTATCTGTTCATACAATTTCTGTATTGTCTTGTGTATAGTTTGATACCTTTGCTACCTTCGGGAGTAATATACATTGATTCAATTGATGCATAATTAAAACGAACTTGAGCAAACGTATTGTAATACTTTATATATACCACCTACATAAAATTGAATATTTCATAAGATTGAACTATAACATTTTTAATATTATTTCGTTTACGACTGTTGCACATAAAATGACTTTTGTTACCGACACTTAACATTATATTGAACATTATGCGAACTTCGTTAGACAAAGTAAGATTAAATGGAGTCTATACACATTTTACATTGAACTACATTCATGTCATATTCATTACATAATTATTACACTGACTTTGAAGATTGAATCTTCAAAGACACTTATAACTGCCATCTTTCCGCCGAATGTTGTCATCGCTAAATAGTATGTTTCAGGAGCAACTTACATACATCTTAATAAGGTTTATTTATGAATTTGGCTTCGGTGCCCATCTTTTAATGTACGTAGAAAAAATGGCCGAATTGAACTGAGACTGTTTCTCTACCTTAACTAACTTCAGTGTTTAAGCATAATTGTTTTTACTATTATGTTATATTATAGTACTTTGAAACGTGCAAAGTACACTGTGTAATTTTGTAATAATGAAAGAAGCCATATTAATCATGTTCATTCATAAGAGTAACGTCAAATATACCTATCAGTAAAATCGCTTATTTCATATACAATGACCTAATGCATGCAAACGTTAAATTATTTCTGTATCCCACAAAACGTTATTCTTACGTTTCGGCAGGTACCGCATTAATAATAGGGGCCATGAGCACAAATTGCATCGTTGGAATGACGATGATGCATCCAGTCGAGTGGCATACAAGAAAACCGGAAGATGTTCGAGCGGAAAGAGCACGCGAGAGGGAAGAACGGAAATTGTGTGGAATAACATCAACGAATCGCCGTTCCATCGACATTGCCCATTTCGCTATGCCCACGAAAACACGATGGAGTAGCTTGACGAGTCTGAAGGGCGATGGCGGAAAACAAATTCCGCTTTTAATAGAAACATTAAAAGTAAGTTCCTTTACGATTTATTCTGTCTGTCCCTTGGTAAGACAGTGACGGCTTACTGAGCACGAAATGTACTGGTAATCGTAAATAGGAATTGTAAACTCATAATATGTGTTGAAATGTGTATCATTTAACCGACCAAAATGGGGACCATTATGCGTATACATGAAGGTCGCATGATAAAGCGAATTAGAGCCTAAGAATATCCTCTAGAAGACTGTCCTTGGACTCGGTACTTTTGAATCAGAACTTCTTAAAAATATTCTATTTTGTAAGTTTAGACGTTGTTTAATACTTTATGGACGGACACAAATATATAATTACTGCGCTCGCAAATGTGACCTTCTTTCTAGTTAAATACAGATATTTAATATTATACTTTTTTTTAATATTGGTGAACATCGGTAATAAGGGTTTAAATGGAGCAACAACAAAAATTGTTTTTAATGTCCAGGAAGAAAGTTACTTTTCATCATGATATCGTCAGGCTAATCGAGTTCAGTGAATATTTCATATTTCATATTTGTTCATGAAGGATCGAAACGTCTTTTGAGTGTCCTTAGGTCCTCAATGATCAGTGGTTTACTATGATTTTAAGATGTTAACTGTTTCTTCTTGTTGACATAGGAGCCTGCAAAAAGAGTGGCTTCGATTTCGGAGCTCGAGGGTAAGATTTATTGCAAAAAGAAGTCAGGGTCGATGCGTGAACTGTTGACGAGGCGAATATCGACGCTTTCGTCATCTAGTGTGACGAACTTGGTGACAAGCATTGGAGTCCCCGGAGACATAAAGCATTTTGAGAAAAATAAGGAGAAGAAAAATGAGAAAGGAGTCCAAGTTTCCATTGGAGACGAAAATATCGAGAAAGGTGCATTTAAGTATGTTATGTGCACATTATTTTCCGAAAGGTTAAAGCAGTACATTGAAAAATATCTTTATACGGAATATTTGCAATTCTTATTCCAATTTGTACATAGTTTATTTTTTTGTCACTTATGATTATGATGTTATAATATAAATATAACTTCTAACAAAAAAAAGTTTGTTTTTACGTTTCATGTATTTGAGAATCGTATTATGCTTTATGAACGGCATTATAGTTTACTCGTTTCAAACGACATTTATTTAGAATCAGAAACAGTAGAACCCTCAGCTAAGGTGATGTTTTTTATTTGAATACTGAAAGGACTGCCCGTAAAACAAAAACATATATATATATATATATATATATATATATATCGACACATTTACATTAATATAAAAAACCGCTTACATAAATACTTTACAAGAAGTAAGAATAAATGGATAACTCTTCATATTTCTTACAATTAGTACTAAGAATTTACATTAATAAGATCGTGGAATTTAATATTCCTTGTAACAAAAAAGTAAGAAAGTTCCAGTTTATGCAAAATGTTTAGAAAGAACTCGCTGTCTTTTTTCGTATACATATATGAATTATGATTTCAAATTAATAAGGCAAACTAGAACAACGTACACAGAAGTGTTTACGTAATTAAATTAAACTATTGTTATTAATAGTCACATCAGTGATGTTTCAAAAATTTATATATAATTTCAACCAATCAATTAAAGAATCACTTAGGCATAGAAACATTTACTATTCTTATAATGAACTTATAAGTGAATGATCAATATTACACTATTCATCTGTCACATCTATTGCCTCAATAAATACATAAATATTTTTCACAAGCGAAAAATAATGAAAATAAATTATTTCGATACGTAATCAGAGGAAAATAAATGTCAGAAAATTTTAGTGTGTACAAAGTGTTATTTCAAACTGTAATAAAGTATTTATCATATTTCAGTGTCTAGATTCTTTTTAAAATAATGTTATTGACAATGCTTACAGAGAAATCTTGGACGATCTACTGGAAATGTCATTGTTGAAGAACTGTTGTTTCTTAAACATGTGTCTGGGCCTGAGTTTCATGTTTTCGAGCGACTTCACGTTCTCTTGCCTTCTACCGTTGATAATGACGAATTCTGGCTTCTCGAAAAGTCAGGCTTCCTTAGCAGTTACGATTAGCGCCTCCGCGGAACTGGCGTCCAAGATTCTGCTCGCGATTTTCACTTTAGTAGTGGATGTAAAATCGAGGTACATATTCTTCGCAGCTATGATTGCCATGGCGTTTGCAAAACTTGGTTAGTAATACAGACATTATATAAACAATTTTATAAAACATACCCCCGAATACAATTATTCTTCGTTTAGGGGTGAAAGTATGAATTTGTAAACATTTTCAAATTAACATTCTCTTTGACTGGTCATTTATTTCTCTTCTGACTTTGTGTTCAACGAATCTGTGTATTATATGCTATCGTATGTTATGTATTTTCACGGAAATTCTTTTCTGGGCATAGATAATTACAGGGTGCTTCATGAAGTGTCACATTTCAGCAATGAAGAAGGAGCATAGAGACAAGGAAATATACGAGGTCTGTCAGAAAAGTACGATAGCGTAGAAATTTGTTTTGTCAAATTATCTAGAAATCAACATTATCTGCTTCGAAATCTGGTTCTCTTGATAACACATAAACCGCTGGAGACGTTGTTCCCAGTTTTTGAAACAGTGTTGGTAATCTGCAACTTGAACTGCTTTCAGTTGGCCTGCCACAATCTATTGGACGTTGTCCACAGTTCTAAGATGACGACCCGCAAGGTGGGTTTTGATTTTTGGGACCAGGAGGAAATCAGACCGTCTCAGATCAGGAGAGTAAGGGGCTGTGGGACGACATGAATACCCTAATTGGCAAGAAACTTGTTCGCAAAGAGTGTGACAACAAGCGTTGTTATCTTAAAACATCCAAGAAAACTATCCTTAAACGAATTTTTTACCAAAACGGATATTCTTGTAGCACAGAATCCTTATTCCCATGATCTGAATCCGTGTGACTATTTTCTTTTCTCAAAAGTGAAACACCAACTTCGAGGTCATCATCTTAGAACTGTGGACTACATCCAATAAATTGTGACAGACCAACTGGAAACAGTCTTTAGCGGTTTGGAGCGTTCCAAGGGAACCATCTTGAAAGGGATAATGTTGATTTGTAAATAACTTGACCATACAAAATTCTGCGTTATCAGTTCCGTTACTTTTGTGACAGACTTCGTATTTATATAAAGCTGTGTTCTATTTGACTTTGTCTTCGAGTTATAGCTACTTTGGTACATATACCAGTAACGTACAGCAGCTTACCCCTTCAGGAAAAGCACAGAATGATACTTTTTGACTCCAGGACAAAAGTAGCCATAATTGTGTCATGGAGAGTTCTAGGATCTTTCGAAAACTTAAAAGGAAGGTGTTTTGGGCATTTCATATAACTAGCTACTTAGTATAATCGATTATAATAGCTCAGGTTATTATTAACACGTTAAATGCCGTGTCGCTCATCGGAGACCAAGAGTAGATTTTCCATTGAGTGATGAATCAGTATGAAAAGTAAAAAATGATACCTTGTTTTTTACAATTACAATTGTAGTAATGTTTCTAGCATTTGAAAATTTTCTAATATTTGTACACAAGTACAGCATTGCTTGTATCAGCTCGACACTTAACGTGTTAATGTAAGAATGATTATCATTGTAAAATATTAATAATTCTGGAACAAAATCAAATTGGACACATATTTGTATAAACTGTTTTCATTTTTTTTGTATATAAAACACATTGTATATGTTTTATTTAATATATGAATGAACACATGTAAGAAGAATCACCTGATTTTGTCGTCTAGCATTCATACGCGAATATTTATCGGTGTTTTCAGGTTACTTGTTCTACAGCAGTACGTTAAGTGGTGCATTTATCATGATAGCAGTGATCGGAGTAGTTAGATCATGGTTGTTAGTTCCTCAGCCATTGGTAGTGATAGAAGACATCAGTATTGAAAAGTTCGCGTCTGCGTATGGAATTTATGGCGCCATTAGCGGTGTCATTTCTATTCTATTTGGCCCAATTGTTGGTGAGTTTTCATTGAGCAGATATTACGCAAGTTATACAGGGTGTCCCTAATGATATGATTCCTATGATGGTGGCGGATGGGTTTTAATAGTGCTAACGGAATTGTAGAAGATATGAACATCTAATCCCATCCTTTTTTCATAGACACCCTGCATATGAATACCATGTTGGTAATGTGATGTCTCATTGTAGTACGTAATTAGTAGACTGTGGATTTGTATTTAAAATAACATTTTATAATGCAATTCATAAAGACAAAAATAAAAATAGAAATTCCTTTCGTCCCTTAGGTATCTTATTGGGATAAAACAAAATGGAAAATTCGTTGCCTCTGATGAAAGTTTTCTTTTTAATTGTATTTCACAGAGCCCTGTAGGTTATGAATGCATAAAATCTGAAGTCTAATACTTAGATTGCGGAATTTATGCATTAGTAGTTGTAGAAGTGTAGAAAATTAATCAAATTTCCATTCTATACGAAATCTAAAAGGTCAGAAAACAATTAAAATCAACACATAGACATGACAAATTTATATTATTTGTTTATTAAAGCCTAAGAAAATGGTTAAGCTCGTTATGGTAATGTGTAAAGTAAGCAGTTAATAAATAGTTCATTATTCTGTAATTCTAGTTTTTACAAAATAATCTTAGAAAATACGAATTTAATTAGTGTAAACATCTGCAACCTAACAACACTGTTGACGTAAATCTATGTAGGAATTCCACATAGTAGTTGACTTAATGTTCGGCCGGATTTTCAGATGCTAATGAATGGTTTTAGGGCTGCTGAAAGACTGGACCAACAGTTTCGTGGTCTGCCAGCTTGCGCTTATAGCAATGAACGTCCTGTTCGTTATTCCGTGGGCAATACAGTTCCTTTCAGTGGACTTACCAAAGAGGAGGAAGGAACAAGCGGACAAAGTGGCTGCCGAAACTTCCGGTCTCTCGGCGAATTGATGATGCAAATGAAGACATACAGCGAAACAGGGGAGAAAAAAAGAACTCGTAAACGCGTGAAACACGAAATGTCTACTGGAAAGTAGGATTTTGTACAGAAACATTCCTTCAAACCGTAATATTATACAATATTTGTGCGATATTTTAGAACGTACAAGACTTTTTTATTAGATTTCAAGTTCATTTGACACAGCCTTCCTGTAGAATATACTTTAGAAGACTTCTGCTGATTGTGAGACTAAATATTTTAAAGTCGTTACTTTGTTAATTTATGTTGATACTATCAGTGACATATTGTAATTCGTTGTAGGTGTACACTTAGGCCGATATTATGTAAGAATGAAATTGGAAATATATATTTTATTTCAGAATTGTCATAGACTGTGAAACGTGAAAATAAAGAAAAAGACGAATGGATATGGAACGTGGTTAAGTATTTTATTACTTCGAATGGTTCAATGTCAGGAAATTGTAGAACATTTTGATTTATTTTTTACTATTAACTCTTATTCATATGCAAATTGAACACTTCTGTAGATCAATTTACAAAAAATGAAATTAAATAGACGATGATGCCTATGCAAGGATCTCATTTGGTTACAGATAAAATTGAAAAAATTCTTAAATTCGTTCTTCTTTTCAACTTTTTCTATTTTTTTTATAAAATACCGTGTAAAGTTAATTGAATTACGGAAATGCATAGGCTTCATAATTTAATAATAAGTATATTAAAATAAGATACAAAGAATACGAAATGATGTGAAATGTAATTAACCTAAGCTACATATTGATTGTAGCCAATAATCTGCAACTTTCGATAAATATGTGAAGTAATATTTAACAGCTGACATATGATCTTTCAAAAGTCTATCATGAACTCATAAACTCACAAAAATTTATATTTTAAATAGTTTTATTAATTTCGTTTTTGTGAACATTACAATTGCAACTTGTTCTACAATCTGAAAGTAACGCATATGAAGCTATTTATACAGATATGTTTTAAAAATATATACTATATTTTATACCCCTCACGGATAGTGTAATATCAAAAGATATTAATTGAAAAATATTTTTTACGTACTTTTTAAAAATATTCAATGGACAAAATTAGGTCATCTAGAGCTCGATAATACAATAAAAAGTAAGTGAAACTGTGAATCCTGATTCATACGGTTTCCACATCGTTATGCAAAGTATTTGATGGGAAAATTTATGGACATTCGTGTAGCAGTCAATCTGCGAACGTAGGTATCACTTACAAAAACTCCATTTCAAACAAAAACTTCTGAACTGCTTTTGTTTCGCGGCTCGATTTTTATTCGGAAGCCGTCCACTCTCTTTAGAATAATATCAACCTTCAGCCGGAAGTCCTTTTCTGTGAGATCCGACAGGATCCTGTAGTTCCGCAGGATCGTCGACAATAAAACCTTCAACTTTAATATCGCGTATTTCCTTCCCACGCAAGACCTACAAAAAAAAGACGGAATTTAATCGCCTTAAGCTTCGTAAAATTCTACTTTGAAACAGGGAGACACTTTTGAGTGTCCGCTTACGGAGAATAATTGAACATTGATAAAACTGATGTCCTTAAAATATATTGTTACACGCGATGGTTCATAAATGCATAGTAGAATTGTAGAAAGCAAATTTGTACAATAAAATGAATATAAAATATTTAATTCACAATAGGTTGTAGATATTGTAATTTCTGTGTTACTGAACATTCATATTAGTACATTTCATATGGCACTCTTGTTATCCAATTTTGTATGTTCGAAAAAATAATTTAATTATTATTATTTTCTTTTGCCTTTTTGTTTACATTTGTTTCCGTGTTTATTTTGCAGAAGATATTCTAGAGTTCAGTTTGATCATTAATTTATCTACTAAAACAGATTGCTTTAAATTTAACGAGTTATCAGTGAATAAATAAGATGAACATAAAATGAGAAGTCTTGTGATATGTTTTTAAATATGTTAACATAGTCTTATAGTTATTAAGGAACATCAGTGGGTTTGAGGTAATTTCATGGTTATCATTATTATTTCGACATTATTCACTGTCATTGTAAATAAAAATGAGTAGAATTTAATTCGAATACAAATGATTATTAAGCAGGACGTCTAAGGAGGGGATCATTATATATATTCGATTAAACAATTACTTGAAAATATGTCTACTCATTCATGTTGCCTGTTATTTTGTCATATGATTAAAAGTTTTATTTATTTCATGACCGAAAGCAAAAATTGAGAAATTTATAAAGTAATATTTTATAGAATTTTTTCAAATAATATCAGAAAGCTACTTTGAATTCAATTTTATTGGTGCCCTAAAATTTGGACTATTTATTGGATTAGCTAAATATAACATATTACTTTTTTTATTATATGACTATTTTTATCTTTTCTCTTTTATATTAATGTGTCTTTGCATTGCTGGGATGCTGTATAATGTTGTATTTTAGCTTTTATGTACTGCTATATTGTTTTATACAGAGGAAAAAAGAGAAAAGACATTTTAAGTCTTGACGGTTGTTGAAGTTAGGCCGAACGAAGTGCAACGCTGCAGGATGGTTGCTCTCCTGCAGGCGTCTTCAGTGGCCATAATGGGGGAGTAAAAACTTTTTTGCAAAACAAAATGTTGCACATTTTTAATAATGCTCCATAAAGTAGTCGTTTCAGAACCCATTACTACTTAGACCTTTTTTTATATCCTAAGAAGTCAAGAAAAAATTATATATTTTTTTAGACTTACCTCGGTCCAGCACTGAAGGGAATGAAGGAATAATAATGCCTACTTTGCATTCGTTCAGGTAAAAAGTTGTCGGGATTGAATTCTTCGGGATTCGGATAGAATTCTTCTAACCGGTGTACCTTAAACGGTGCGATTAATACTGTACAACCTTTTGGTAATACGTAACCATTAGTGGCTGAAAAGAAGTTAATAATAATAATAGTAAACTAAAATATATGTACCATTCATTAAGAAATAAAAATTACAGTTTTATAGAATACTAAAAATAATACTAATGATAATAGTGCAACACTTCTATTACTCATTATATGTGATACTTAAAAGAAGTATACAAACTAATTTAAGCTTATAGAAGTTTTTATCATATCGCATTCTGCGCATTCATGTTTCCCAAAAATACAAACATGCACGAACTGACTGTTGAGGCTTTCGGGTGTAAGCCGTACAGTGAGAACTGTAGGATGCCGGGCCGTGAAAGCCTCAAATCTCTGATTATGCATGAACTGGTTGTATTTATCTATCCTTAAGTATTAGATTATTACGTAAAAATAACGTTCTCTACACTTAATTAACTTTTTCAAAATCTAGTTTTTCTATGAAAATTTACAGAAAGCATCAGTTTATATTGTACAATTATATAGACATGTTTCAAACTACCATTTTGTTCCCACCAATCAAGTAATAATAACAATAATCAGTGTGGTATCTATTTGAGTTAGTAAATACCTTATTTAGTTATTTTATATGTTTTACAATATTATAATTTACCTAATTTGACGTCTTCTTTGAGTAACCTAGCAATGGCGGGCACTGGCGGGAAAAGTCGTAAAGTATGATACACCCGGTCCTAAAGTACAAATGTCGTAATTAAGTTGGATTTCATGTTTTGTAGGACAAAATTGTATAAATGTTCATATATGTACAATTTTCTGTTGGAATTACTAGAACAGTTTCCAATAAACGAATTATTTCCATTATTTCTGATTCATAAAAATACAGGTATCGCGTTTTACATAAATAAAATAAAACAATAAATATTTACTCCCTTCATTGGAAATTCTATTAGGTTAAAATTGAAGTCAAAATTTTCTTTCCGTAAGTTAATTCTCTTACAGTATAAAGATATAAAACTTGCAGTCTAAACATCAACTCTATGGTATTTATAACACTGTACATATGTCAATGTAATATTTTCTTTAATCAGTTGAATTGAAACAAGTGAGGTATTGTGAATATATCATGTGTTAAATGTATACATGTATATATGTGTTTTAAAAGTATTGTTAATATCTATTATCAGTAATTGTCTAGCCAATACGTTATTGATGACATATTAGTTTGCCTTTGCCGCTACTATGTAATAATTAACTATGTTTATTGAAATAAAACAAATTTATTATTAATATTTCACATAGAATTAATTTTGAAGTGAATTAATTGAAAAGAAATAACTACATACATAATAAATTAATTATGATTTTAATGAAATTAGGCATTTATGAACAGTGATTAATTGTGTTAACGTTAGTAAAACATATACTACTGAGTATAGTACAGTAACATGATCGAAAAAAGTTATCGTTTATCGAAAAACTTCAATGAATGTAGAAATCGATATGCATCGAATGGCTGAAATTGTACTAATATGTAGTTAACATAACCTTCGATTTTAGGAATATTGAATTACTTTTCAAAAATGGGAGACTCGGCTAATGGGAAAAATTTGTTCGTAAAAATGTGCGCAATGTGTCATACAATTACCAAAGATGGTAGTCACAAAGTAGGCCCGAATCTGTATGGAATTGTTGGAAAAACCTGTGGTAGTACGTATTTAACAAATCTTAATCAACGATATATAAATCATATTATATCAAAAATATTAATAATTTTATATGAATATTAGAACTAATATTGTCTTCAGAAACATTTGGTCAATCGAAAAATTCTAGAAGTATTACATTAGTATGCTAATAGCTCAATGAATTTTATAATTCCACCATTTTTTTGCACACAATGAAATTAGCCCGTGTAGTACAATTTTCTAATAAATCGATTTTTGTGGATAAATAATTTATAAAAGTTGGTGTTAAATAAGTTCAATAAGAGTTCTGTATCTTATGAAACTATTACATTATGTTCTTAAGAAGCTAACTATCGCTTAGTTAATCCTAGAATAATCATTTTAATAACTTTAGCTACTCCCGGTTTCAAGTACACCGATTCTATGAAATCCAAAGGCATTACATGGGACGAGCACACATTAGACGAATATTTGGAATACCCTATGAAGTATATACCAGGTACAAGAATGGTGTTCAATGGCATTAAGAAACCCGAAGCCCGGAAAGATATAATAGCTTACTTATCAACATTAAAATAAATGCATTTTTCATGTGAAATATTTTGCACAGTGTCGAAAATATATTACAATAATAATACATAGTAATATTATAGCATTAGAATAATAAGATTAAAATGTCAACTTTTGATTAATACTCTTGGCAGAAAGTATTTAATCAATAATTGATATGACTATGATGTAATAAATTTATTTAGATACATAATAAAAGTGTAGCCTACTTATGATGTACACAAAGGCCACGAAACCTAAGGATTAACTCTACTTAAAATAAATATGTTTATTTATTTCCAATGTAGAGAATAATTAGTGCGACAAGAGACTTGAATAAAAATTTTTCTACAGCGAGTCCTATTACTTTCAGAGTGTACTTTATGTATTTTGTAAATAAACTGTTTTTTCAGAACTAATGAGTATGTTTTTCACCTGTAAGTTCGCATGATTCAATTATTGTATAAAATTTTAAATGTTACTTGCGTTTGTTGCTATGCCAAGTGCATTAAAGCGTATATATTCGTTGGTAATCGAATTTATATAAGTGAATGTGATAAAATAGTATGAAAATATTATCTATTTGACAGAAGGAAGAATAGGTTATTGTACTTACCTGGATATCTTGATGAATACCGAGTACACAGAGAACGAAACTGGAACCTGCAGCCGTGGTATCATGTCCCTAAGTATCAACAAATCAATTATGCATAGTAAATTTAATCACATTTGATTGTTGGGAATAACACCACACTATTTGCAAGGCTAGACCTAACGCTAAACTATCAAATTTCATGTTAAAATATCTACAATTAGTATAACTAATTCCACAAATATTTTGCAACAAGAAAACGTCTGTACTACGAAATAAATTATTTCAATTCTTGTTGAATATATTATTCATTCTGATTGAAGGACCGCATGCATCAGTAATAACGGTTCAATTCGTCGCTTGTTTTTTATATTTGCAGATATCTCAATAATTAACAAATTCCTCTCCTTCATTAATAAATTACACAGTAATCGAATAAAATTTTTAAAAAATCGATTTTGAATGTGAATTAAATAAGAATAATTTTGATATGGCTACGTCCATGTCGAAGTTACGTGATTTTTTGTATTAAAAAGATAATTGTTGTTAAAAGTCAAAATGAAAGCTTTTACGAACAAGTTGATTTATCTCCTTCTTCTTATGTTAAGAAGTAGTAGCTGGCTATCAGTTTATATTGGTAATGAAATTTCTTTTATCTTCGTTCATATTTTTTTTTAGGCGGCATCTATAACTTGTTTATTGACTGTTGCACATATTTATTGAAATTTTCCATCCTCAAAGTATCAGACCTCAGTACTGCCCTCCTTACCTTAATTGTCCTAACTGATTTATTCGGACATCCGATAAAAATGAGGTTTTATCATTTTCTTTATGTCATCTTTGTTTTTCATTGTAGGCTATTTTCATATAAGAAACGGTTCAAATCATATTTATATAATTTTTTTATATGTATCTTGAACTTAGAACTATCTGAATTAGCAGATGTTAGATAGAACAATATAAACTAGTAGAACCTTTTCAAAACCAGTTAGGCCAAATAAGTTAGGTTTTTTCTGGAGCCCTAAAAATCACACAGGATATTCTAGCTTTAACTAAAAAGTGAAACGCATATGGGGCTTTAAATATTTCGAAAAATCTTGAAAAACAATAATATGTTAGATTGAACATTTTAACCGTTTTCACTCGGAATTTCCAAATTTCCCATACATTTTATCCCCTGAGAAGGGACAATGAAGTGCAAAGGGTTAAGTAAGGAGGGCAGAGTAGCCGTACACCCTGTATAAGCACCCGCTGCATTGAGAGAGTTAAATAAAATTCTACAGCTGTTACATTTTTCCCCATATCAATATTGCGTTAACAATGTTTCTCAAAGATTCTTTAGTGCGTGTTTAGAATTAATCGATTTTTACTTCCTTAATCGAAATTAACTTACCTCGAACATTATAGTGTCAACTTCCTCTTTGATTTCTTCATCGGTAAGTTGAGCGCCGTTCTTCGAAATTTCCAATAAAAGATCCAAGAAGGCGAGTCTCTTCTTCTCGCCGACATCATTGTCATCGATGTCATCGAGATCGTCTCTGACATAATGCATTTTTGCGGTTTCATCCCGTTCTTTATTACTGGATTCATTGCTTTCGTCAGACTGAACCGAGTCTGCCACTTGCTTCGACTTCCTTACATCTCCAATATTTGAGCAGATATTCTTGTACGATTCTGCCTTCTTCTTTCGAATCACTTTCGACGTTAAACTGTGAATGATATTGAGCAGCCTCTCTTGTTTCTTTGCGTAACGCGAAAACTTGAAGAGAAAATCGAACCGTAGATTTACGTTGTACTGGCGTCGGTGAATTATGTCGCACATACTGTTAACGAACAAAAATTCAAATGTTAAACGTATAAGGTCTTTAATTTACGACAGCTACAAATCGCTCAATCAGTGAATTATTTTTCTCCTATTAACAAGAAATAGGATATGAATTCTTTATCTTTGATGTCAAACCTTTATTTTTCACAAAACTATAAAAACTGGTTCGATTCAATTGTACATCGAATGGTTTATCGATATCTTATTAAAATTCAGATATTCAATCAGAGAATTATCCTTCAATTAGAATGGATAATACATTTACTTATTTATTTAAACAGAATGCGTAACAACAGAATTCTAAAAAAAGTATCGATTTAGTCTAAGGAAAATTTGTGAGATAAACAATTCAGAGAACATCGATTATTATGCTCGGATATTTTAGATACAGGAAAGAATATAAAAATTGTTTTTATCTGTTTATGTATGAAAGAAATTTTGAAAATATTGCTGTAAAAGAAAAGTGATATTCTAAAGTAGGAGCTTTTAGAAAAAGAAAAGTTCCATAAAATTTCAGTGAATATAAATTAAATATAAAATTAAACATAAATTAAATATAAATTAAATATAAATATAAAATATAAATTAAATATAAATTTACTAAACCAATTTGCAAAATATTCATTTTGAAGAAAGAGAATTTAAAAAAACATGAACTTAGTAGAATTGAAAAGCTTACTCCATTACAGCCATGGCGTATTCGTATCCATTTCCATGTTTTTCGGATTCCCTCAGACCCATCGCTGTTTCCAATAAAATATCAACAGTCACTGCGGACAGGTAATCGTGGCAATCGAATTCTTTTCCCACTTGATCACGCAGCCGTATTACCAAATCTCTACTGTTTTCGTAAAATAATGGAACGAAAGTTTTTAATACGTTAAGATGGAATGTTGGCGCTATGATCTTTCTATGTGTTCTCCATTTTTCACCTGTGCTGATGAGCAATCCGTTTCCCAGCCACGGTTTAAAGTATCTGTAACGTGACCGCTGTAATTTGATTTTTCATTGCAGGTACAAAAATAAAGAGTAGAAAATTAAGTTAGTTTAAGCTAAATTAAATACAGTTGAAAGTATGTATGTACAGTACAAAATATCCTGAAAACTGTAGAAATTAGTATGTGTTAGGAGATGATAATGAACAGTATCAATTTTATGGAAAAATCAAACTGATTAAAGTACTATAATTATTTTAAACGATACATTCTAGAACGAGTAAAAATAAATCTGCGAAAGAGTATTTTTTTGTCTCTCTTATTTGATTCTTTAACATTAATCTCAAATATTAAGCACTTATTTTGTATAATAGCATTTCATATATCTGTTAGTCTGTCGCTGTCTTTTGCACAAAAATGCTCTGTTTTATCATTAAAACCTGCATTATACAGCAACAGAATTATCGAACAAGTTATTAAGTGTATTATACAATAATAATTGCCGCTTTTTAGTAGTTTTCGTTATTTCCTATAACTTTCTGATATTTTTCTGTCAAAGAAATAATTCCACGACATATTTTTGCATACACGTAAAAAAAGCGTTATTACAATAAATATAAATATATTTTATTGATATCGAGGGCATTGTGTGACCAATCGGTTTAAATCACTTCACATTACACAGTGTCCAATTACCTGTATTCGGACGATTTGTCGATATGAACCGTACTACTAAGAATAATTTCAACGTCTCGAGGATGATACATGAAAATCACTAATTTGTTTCCTAAAAATGCACGAGCCACAGGTCCAAACACATCGTATTCGAGTAGTTTTTCTAGAACGTGATTTGGATGGATACCAAATGTTAATAAAGCATTTCCTAGTATTGGGAATGTTTTCGGACCTGCAAAAAAAGTATCAAAGGACGTTCACTTGTGAAAAACAATTATTCTACTTTATGCCTTTTGTTTGATTTATTAAATTAAATTATTATTACGTGCCTGGTAACTTATTTCCCATGCGAACTACTCGTAAACTTTCGATGTAAAAATAAATGCTGAACAAGATCGTAGTGATTGCAACGAGTGAATAGAAGACAGCTGTTTGCCAGTAAGAAGTTGTCACCACTGCCGTCTCCATGTTAAATTCTACCCCTCCAAGGATTACAATGTTAAATTAAAAATAAAAAAACAGTGAAAGTATGAAATTACATAGTAATTAAATTCTTAACAATTCCGTTTATTTAATCACTGCTTAGAGTACCCACTGAAGAATGAACACCACTCTAGTTTAATTTATTGTACATTAAGTTCTGTTAGAAACAAAATTTTCGAATTACAATGGTACCAAATCATCATGAATTCTGTAGTAGATGAAAGATTGGTTGAAATTTACTTGAAATTAATTGTTTGTGTACATTAATCACAACGATGCAATGCTGATTATTAGGTTACGAATTTTATGTAATTTAAGCAATCTACGAATATGCAAAAAGATTAACAAACAAGCCCAACAGTGTTTATCATATTAGTACTTGTAACATGGTAAACCCCTTTAATAGATGAAAAATAGAAATCGACGTGAAATCGAGATTTCTACAAACGTACGTAGTCAATACCGTAAATATCTCCGTACACTAAATACCTCTTCGCGGTCTGAGCTACGCGTGTACTAAAATCTGTAAACAAGAACCGTCGAAGCAACGGCACCTTTTATATTCTCGATTATACATGCATCGATATACTGACGATTCAGTACGGATGCATGAAAAATAAAACCTCTCATTCTTTTAAATTAATTATACGATGACCTTATCTTTTGCTGTGAAATATTTGCTTTACAAATTTTTATTGACGCCCAGAACAGAATAAATCAATTACATTGTTTTCAACAGAATATTTTTTGCGTTTTTCTTATATTAGATATCAATATAACTTTTTTGTGAAAATTAAATTAGTCAGTCAATAAGTACACTCTCTCTTGTAGTCTCAAGGCTCCACGTGTTTGTAGATCGTATCCTTATAGAAATATCATGATTCGAGCTAAAAATAATTTTATAAATTTGAAATGTTCTGTTGTATAAGTAATTTTACAATGTTTGAACAAATCGTAATCAAACAATGCTATTCCTGAACTATTACGAGTTATGACATTTGGTTTGTCACCTTCTATTTGAAAATAGCACCATTCATAATCAATAATACATTAAACGAAAACCTGTATCAACAAAGAAATTGCAAAATGTGACAAGAAATACCCAAGTAAATTATTAAAATCGATATTAATATAGTTAATTGATGCTATCAGTCTACCTACATCATTACAATCTATCTACTAATAAACATATTGGACGCGATTGGACCAGTCCAGGTGCTAAAAAGCCATCACAAACTCCATTACAGTACTCATTATGTAAGAATGAAAATCTTAGGAGTCATCATGTAATTATCTATTTATATTTACCTGCCTTAATACAATTTTTAAAAAACCATATAGTTAACTTATATAGATACCTTATAATTCCTTTGAAGAATTGATAGTAGAGTATAATAATTGAAAAGGAAAACGGCGGCAGGTATCGGTGATTTCTCTGAAACATACGCCTATACACCCGACACCACTTATTGCTTTTAGGAAAAAACAGAAGCTTCGCAAAATAACTGCCTAAATTATGAACTCGATCGGAATACAAATTCCAAGCAGTCGTATCTGAATCGATCCGAAAGTATCTTGTAAAATTATGTACAACTGTCTATGGTGAATAAAATGAACAGTTAGAAAAGCGGTTACAACGTTCCCCCGTTGATTGCCGAGGTGGAAACGAGTACTTCCGGAAATGACGTAGCAACCTGCTTTGCCCCCTGCCTGGAACGTGCCCGGAAATCAGCCCTCGAGGATATTAAAAAAATAACAAGGACAGACAGGG